AAAAGCAGTTTTGATCTCAGGGGATTTCAGAATTAGGTGACACTGAAGAAGGATTGCCTTCAGTTTAAATAAACGTCAAATGACTTTCCTGTTTGGAGGCTGAAGTAAATGCTATGAGCACGAACAAGTTAAATATATGGAGGATATAGTATTTGACTGATATTGTACAGAAAAAGGCCTTTCCTCAGTTGAAGAATGTTTTGACCAATAAATCATAGTCCTTACTCTTGGCAAGTCTTCCTTTAAAATATATAATAAATGATGTGGATGCTTTAATGTCCAAAAAAAAAAAAGTGAGAGAACATCCATTTTCCAAATTAGTCATAAAGGCCTCTTACAATCTTATAATGCCTAGCAGTTGATGCTTTTCAAAATTAATGTCCAATGCTATGTTGTTAAAATGTAGAATAAAAATCAGTCCTTACATGAGAGTTACAGCCTACACACATTTCTCTCAGAAGGTCTGAGCTGACCCGCTTAGTCACCAGAGCTCTGTTTTAATGACATGTAGGTGTTTAAAAAGTGTTTGCACCACAAAGCTGCCCCCTCCAGATAACACTCCTGTTACATTCACAATATGGTGACAGATAAACAGAGAAGAAACAACTCCCCCACTAAATACATTAAGCAATAATGGCATAAGATTAATGTAAGACAATAATTATGACAACCAGAAAAATAAGTAATGAAAGTACCAATCTGTTTGCTTAATGCATTTCAGCTTGTCATTCTTTTGCAAAGAAATTAGAAAGAAATACAAAGCAACTAATGCTTCACCTAGAAAAATATGTTTCTGGAAAGCACAGAAGGAGAACAAAAAGGGGTTTTTTGGTGCAGTGTTTTGGGGTTTATTTCCAAAATTTATTGTGTATTTTGCAGGCAGGCGTTTTACTGTGACACAATGTGAAGGGATTACTACATCCAATGTACGTTTACCTTGCCTTTTACCTCACTCAATCTTCTACTGCCATGGAGAAACTGTCTAGTCACTAACACATCTTGTCAGTGTGATTCAATAGTAATTCTAGATTTCACCTAAACTTAAATGTACAGTGGGTCTGAGCTGAAGTCATGGCAGCATTAAATTAGTCTCGTTAAAATATGAGGGGAAAATACCTATTCAAAGGAAAATATTTAATTGTGCATTTTACCCCTAGTATTCTCCTTTCTTCTGCACAACTATGAGGCAGTGAAACTTGCAGTTTAGAGGTTCTTAGAAAGATAGGGTATATCTAAAATAGTTTTCTTGTAAGTACCTATTATAACTTACAAAATTTTATTCGAAATGTGAAGTGCTTTTTTTGAGATGAAGAAGCTATATATAATGTGACAATGGAATTAAGTACAAAAAAATGCACAATACATGTCATCAAACAGAGGATTGAAAGTTTTTGTGTTTTTTTTTTAATGTGAATGTTATTTCATATTATGATTTGAGATATTAAGGAATCTTTTTGTTAAATTATGTTTTCAAGGGAATCAAGTTAAAGCATGTAGTTTAGGATCCAAGATTTCAAACTGGCCAACATTTTGATACCGTCACAAAACCATACCATCACCTTTTTCTTTCTCATTTGCCTTAACATTTCTTGGTATATCCTCACCCAATCTGAAATAAGTAAACTAGAGTGGGAAGCACTCTAAGAGCTTGGCTTTGAGCTTGACTCACAGAAGCAAAAAGCATGTCTCCAGCTGCTTTCCACCTATTGATCTGCTTCTATTGTGCTGAAATACTTCTTGAAGTTGGTGTAGCTGGAGATTAAACAAAATGATACAAGCTCTTCAGAAATCACTGTCAAGATCCTTAAAGAGGTGGTAGAATCACACTTTAAAGCTTTTTTGCTAATCGTTTGAGTCATGCATTCCTGACTAACCCCTGAACTGCTGTTCACAGAGAAATACAAGTTGGCACCAATAGGAAAGATCATTAAAGGTGTGATCTACCACTGTAAATTTTGCTAGGGTGTTTTACTCTCCATCACTGACTACTTCAAAGTCAGGATGAGATGGTGTTCCATTTGTGCAAAAAGAGCAACAACAACAACAACAACAACAACAACAACAACAACAAAGCACCAAACAAACCCAAACCTGAATAATGTCTTTTTAAAAAGTTATTCCTGGTATTGATGCATTTGTCCCAGATATCTTGGCCTCAGTCTGTCCAGATGATGATCCCAGTAGGATGACTGAGGTCCAGACAGTCCTGTCAGTCCTCTTCTGTTATGACAGAGGCTGTACCTCCTCAGTGCACCTCATAAACTTACACAACAGTTTTATCTTGCACCCAATACTGCTACCTCATCTAAACAAGTGAGATTAGGGGTTCTGCTTTACAGATATAAGTGAAAATTAATTTTATTGAAGCCAAAGATGGCAAAGTTTTAAGGAGATGTAGTGGCTGACACAGCTAAGAAAAGCAATAACTTTTTGAGTCTAGAAGCCCCTTTTTGTCCTGTTATGAGTTGGTCTAATAAAAATATCATAGCTCTGCCCAGATCATGTCCTGTCATGGTGACTGAGAGCACTCTTATAGTTGTATTTTTGAGAAACATACTCAATAGAGTGTTTCTGAACATACCATTGAGTATTGTAACGGAGCTGAATCTTCCCTTTTGGCATAGGGTTTGGAAACAGTGCTGTCATTCTCCACAGTTTTTGAGAGAGAAAGAAGTGGAAAAAAGGAAAAAAGATGCTTTTTCCCTGACTGATCAGATTCTCTCTCCTATTAGCGATAGCCTCTTTCTATTACAAAGACCTATCTTCCAGTGATTATATACAGTATATTTCAACATCTGCTACTGCCAGAACAGCTTAAAATGGCATATGACAGAGTGCATGACAAGTGAAATCTGACAGAATCCTTCCATTACTGAAGAGTCAGCCAGGACACCAAACATGGTCACAGTGAAAATGTTCACAGTCACCAGCTGTAAGTGCAATAACCCGATAAATGTTTTGCAAACAACATTAATCCCAGTAGAAATGGCTGAATGAACCCTGCTTGGGTTTTCCTTTGTAGAAGAGTTGAGAAGTGACAATAAGAGAGAGCCTGCTTTCAAGAAGAAATAATTCATAATTAGTTAAGATCATAAAAAAAAAAAAAAGGGACATGCACATATTTTAAAATATCAGAATGTTGCAATATCACAAACAGAAATTACACTTCCAAAGAATTTACAAAGGAATGCTTTTGTAAAGCACATAGTTTACAGGAGTCTTAATCACTGCACATACTAGAAAGAAAAAAAAAAATTGCTTATTCCTAACAACTCAAATTGAGTTTGACTTCCTGTTTGATTTCCTGTTCATTCTTATATTGAGAACATGTTCCTTAAATGGCTTCATTTATCATTTTTGCTTCTGCAGAAAAGGCCAGTATACCAAAAATAAAATCCCATTTCACAGCAACAGTTACAGTCATTACAGTTAATCCTATTGTCCATCCACAGCATGTAGTATTACAGTCTGTGAGGTAAGACTTCACATACAGGCAAGAAAATTCTTGGAAAGAAATGTAACTTCATGGTACTTCTTCCAATCCACAACTATTGGGAATTTCTCTAAATGTGCACAAGAGTAAGACTTCATCCTTCTTAAAAAAAAAAAAAAAAAATTTATCTTTTATGTTGACTCCTAAAATAGGGTACCACTAGGACCAGTATACTATGACTTAGGTTTTCCTTTTAGGAAAGAAATTGGAGTCCATGATTGAATATCACTGCTGTATGGGCATGTGAGAAAAAAAGTCTTTTTTAAGTCTATCTCTCCATTCCTATATTGGTGATGACAGTTGGATCACAGTATTTACATGCTGGCAGAAGTCCTACTCCTGATACTTACATTTTTCCAGATTGATAACAATATACCGTTTAACTGCATCAAAATAAATCTCTGCCTATAGTCCTTCCAACAGGAAGAAACTTTTTTTCCTACTACAATTAATCTTTGATCAAACATTTGTATCTGTTTTACCCAGAGAGGTATTAAAATAATTATTTTCCTGGTTTTCTTATTCTACATGACATTTAAGCTATGCAGTATAGTTTCCCTTTCATATTTCTTTCAGTTTTAATTATTTAAATTTTGTCTTCCCCCACTTCCAAGTTACATTATAGTGACATTTAATTCAAGAAAAGTGACATTTCCTTATTACCATGATGTAACAAAACACTGTCCTCCGGTAGCAAGCAATTTAGTGTCCCATTTACCCATATCCTCTCAGGAGCTTGTCACAGCAACATTGGATGTTATTTAATAGCGTTGATTCATTGCAGGATAACTATACTTTGAAGAACTGGCACAGATAACTATGAGTTGGTGGTGGTACCCCAACGCTGAGTTGATCACAGTAAAGGATGATGTGGATGGCATAAGGGCACCTCTCCAGAACAGTTTTTCATCACTGTGATACCATTACAAAAACAATTGGTTCATAGAGCCTAAACAGCTGAAGGCAAACAGTATGCTTTCTGACTATATAAGGAGAGAGGCAGCTCAAGCTCAGCAAGCAATACAGAAGCTTGTCACTGGGCTTTTCCACAGTGTTTCTGAATCCTGTATCTCTCATGTACAATAAGGGCTAGAGAGTTTCTTTCTTCTGTGGTTACAAGTATCTTCAAAGAGAGACACAGTCACCTTCTTGCAACTAAAAAGTCTGTCTTTTTCCCTTCTTTTACAACATGACACTATAGAAAAAGGCGCTAGGGTCTTTTTCCTAGCTTACATTCCACTATTCCTTTTTCACCTCACATCAAAATTTGAAGTGACAAAAGGAACAATGTGACACATACAGCACAAAGATTGCTGTGGGGATTTTAAATTTTACTAATACCTCACATAAAAGCAGCAAAACAGCAGAAGCAGCACACATTCCTCCCCCCAAAAAAACACCCACCAACTGCACCACAAGCAACACTGAATACCAGTTTGTTATTAGAGGCCAAAAATAAGTCAGACCAATACTGATTAATTTTTTATTAATTAAAAAAAATCTTAGTATAAAAAAATAGTTCATTCTGTACACTTAGAGAAAGGACAAAGATGAAACTACACAACAGGAACAAGGTAAGATATATAACAAGTAAGTTTCAGGAATCCATTAAATTATGTTTTCAGAATTATGTTCTTTTCTGTTGTCATGTGCCATGCATTTCCTCATCTCCAACACAGTAAGCTTCCTGAAGCAGCCACTTGACACAGTTTGGAGTTATGCATAACCATGACAACCATTAATTTACAATGAAAAATGTTGGCTACATTAATGTTTGCTATTGTTAGTTCATCCAGCGATGGACAAAGGTCAGGTAGGCTTAGTGACAGTACATCAAAAAAGTTGCATAGATAATTTACAGAAGTGGTATCACCCAGCCAAATACTTATTTTCTGCGATTTCTAATGCATTTCAGTCATACCCGGTAGAATCAATCTGCTGTAATGCTTCACAACGCTGAAGACCAAATGAAGTTATGTTAAGAGTATCTTTCAAGAGCATTGGTCATGCCAAAGGTAGACTTTGTTAATAATACTAATGTGATTACTCTGAGCTGAACACTTTGCCAGATCTAACACATAACTAAGCTGACAGACAGCAGTGAATAGATAGGATTAAATCACTTGAGAACAAGTAGCTCTTTAAGATAAAAGAAAGCAGGTGAGAGCAATCTAAAACAGCTAGGCATATCAACTCTGATTAAGGTTGCTCTTCTGCTTGGAAGATGTCAGTGTCCATTAGGATTACTGATTTCTTCTCTAACTCTTCTATTCTTTCCTCAAATACCAACATACACAGATACGAATTGAAGTTGCACCAGGGTATTTGAGGTTGGGATCCATGCACTCTACTAGGACAAAGAGACCAAGCTACTGTTTCTTCATGTAATTGGGCTTTCTAGAGGCAAAGCTATTAACAAGCATGGTTGTAAACTTATTCCCTATGACTGGTACACAAATACTTGATAGAAAACATGTACCATATAGCAGTCCCACTCAGACATATAGCCCAGAATCTTCTTTACTTCATTGTGACTGCCTATAGAGCTGGTATCTTAAAGGTAAAAACTTAAGAGTATCATCTATTGCAAATTCATTAAATACACACACTTCTCCTAAACCTAAAATATCTTACTCACACTGTAATTTTTCTGTAACTATCCAAGTAAGTCATCAGGATATTTAATCCTGGTAACTTCCATTAGAGAGATGTCTCAAATTACAGCAACTTCGTAATGAACAAGATAGGCAATGGACATGTCCATTAAGCAATATTAAGTTACTGACAAATATTTCAAAAATACACTTTTCCACTCTCCTACAGGTTTTGTTTTCTTCTTGCAGCTGAACCCAGACATTAGGAAGATCCCAAGCCTCTTGGAAAAACAAGTCTGCACGTAGTATCTCAGTCAGCAAAGCCAGCACGCTGTCCTATTCAACTGTTGGTACTGCAGAAATACATATAAAAAGGTTACAAGTAGAATTATTATATTTTATTCAAAGACATTTATCTGCTTAAGTATTTTTGAATGCATTTTTATCAGCTTTTTAACATAAAGCAAAATGGGTAAACTGCATAAATGGGTCTGCAGTTGCTATAGGTAGAGGATTAAACAAATAGCACTATAAATGTGGAACAGTAATAGTCACTGCTTAATGTGAAGTAGCATATAATTTCATTTATTAAAGTGAAAACACGGGAAGCTTCTATAGCAGTACACTTTAAGTCATCAAAAGACCATTTCACCACCCAGATTGTTTTAGCTGATCACAACTTCATAAAAACAGGACTCACCTGCTTGCTGAGAGTGTTTTTCTGCCAACGGTTGGTGGAGATGGTTCACTATGGAAAAAGCTTTTTATCCACCAACATTTATCAATTAACTCAGGTAGCCCTGCCAAAGCAGAAAAAGACCCCACTGTTAGACACCTGCTGAATAACAGACAGGCAAGACTGGAAGACTGAAAGAAGGGAAAAATACCATGAAACGCTTTGTCCTGGTCTGCAATGTTCACAGCATCTGAACAGCAGGAGGAGCTGGAAGAAACACTGGATTCCGAGTTTTGTCGTGCTGTTCATGGAAAACAGACACATGTAAGGGGGGGGGGGAAATAATGCTTCAAGAGCACAAACTGTTTCTACACCCAGAATTTTTCAGAGCTGCTGCTCTCTTGGAGGAAACAATCTAAAATGGTAAGCTTACTTCACTACAAAGTACAACTTCTGTATCATATACACCATCCTACTACAGTTGTTTACATAAGAACTTTTATATAAGTTGATCCCCCAGTCTTACTCTTCACTTAAAAACACACTGAGATCTGGTTGCATAACGTTCGCTGAACGCAGTGAAGGACTCACGGTCACGTACCCACCGTTATCAAAACAAACGAGCCTATTCCTCAAGATTCAAGTCCAAAACAAGTTAACTGCCCTGCTTCCCCACCGCGATACAACCAAGCCCTCTACTCGCACCGCAGCGTCCCGGCGCAGCCGGCCCCGCCGGGCACTTACTCCTGTAGTACTGGTTCTTGGCCAGGAGGCAGCCGGCGGAGGGTACCGAGGCCATGGCCGCGGCGCGACGGGGAAGCCGCCTCTCTCCGGGAGGAGCCTGCGGGGGGAAGGACGCGCTTTGCCGGGGGAACTGCACCCGGAGGAGGGGGAGAAGAAGGAAAAGAAGCGGGAGGGGAGCGGCGCGCAGCCCCCCGGCCCGGGGCCTCACTCACCTGCAGCGCCCAGGGAAAGCGGCCGCCGGGAGGGATAGAGGGGACACCGCTCCCCTCCGTGGCGAGTGCCGCCCGCACCCCCGGCCGCCCCTATATGGGCCGCGGCGGGCGGCCCGCCCCGGGGGCGGTGGGGCGGGGCGGG